ACCATATCTAAGTGAAAATGGTTTTTTTTCTTTTTGCTTAAAAGTTTTATATCGCTTTTTTTCTACAGGTTTGTTATTATCACTGCTTTGGGTGCTGTATTTTCTGTTTTAACTACCGGCGGAAACCTGATGGTTATGGTAAGCTTCAAGATGGATAAGCAACTACAGACGATCAGCAATTATTTTTTATTTAGCTTAGCTGTTGCCGATATTGCAATAGGTATGTTCTCTTTTTTATTTTAGTTTTTTTTTTTAGAGAGGGTAGGGGGAGGGGGAAGGGAAGGGGAAAGAGGGGGTTATGATCCTCAATCTAAAAACGGTTGTGATTATTGCTAAAGTGTTCTTTGCTCAAGTTGTTTACTGCTTTAGACTTTTCTTTAAACTTTAAAAAGAAAAGGAGAAAAAAGTGGACTAATTTCCTTAATTTATTTTGCTTTAATTTTACATAAATCTTTCTAAACAATATTTTTGTTGCTTTTTAGTCACGCATTTTTTTGGGTGGTTAAAAGTTTTTACTAAAGAAAAAATATGTTTTCTGCTTAAGAATGTTTGTGCTAAACAATTCTGATCTCTGTAAATCTAAGTGTTAAACCACGGTTACATACTGATGATTAACAGCAGCATCTAATCTTCACTCAACTAAACTTTGCCCTTTTGAAGACAAGGATTTAGACATCGTTTTTCTCGTCTTTGTCTTGTTTTTTTTTTCTCATAATCCTAAATCTATTTTTATGATAGTTTAGTCAGACTAAGCTTTGTAAAATGAAAGAAAATATGTTGCTCCTTCAAAGCATCAACTTCCGCAAAAAAAAAAAAAAAAAACACTTGGACATTTTCTAGACTGACGGCTTCCATTAAAACATCAGAAGCAGCGGTTTCCAAATAGGCTCCTCCCTCAAATAAGTTGTAATAAAAGAAAGTCGATGCTGTTGCGGGTTGCTCTACGTGAGCCTTAACTACAGAATTAGTATTTCTTCTAGGGCACCAACGGACAGTGGCGAAGAAGTGGGTGGAAGCTAAAGAGTTGAAAATGGCAAAGAATTATTAGGATCATATGTAAGTCTAATGGGAATAGAAAGTTAGTGAAGTATTTGAACAGTAAAAAAAAA